CGAATCGGCCCCGTTTGATCCAAAGAGGAAGTAGGATCAAACAAATATATATATATATATATATATATATATATATATATATATATTTTTTTTTTTTTCTTGTAATGAAATAATTTTGAGAATGAATAATATATCCTTGTTTCTTAAGCTATGTTTCTTTTATTTTGCTTCGACTGAGTATGCTTGTATGCTTCTGATATTGCACTCACTCTGTTGAGAGATTTTTTTTTAAAAGGAAGGTACTTTGCCTGAAGGTTCCTTATTTGTTTTAGTCCGCAGCAAAATAAATAAGAGGTTTTCTAAGCCGGACACTTAGGGTCCAAGGCAAGGTTTTTGCCTAGCCGGACACTCAGGGTCCGAGGCGAGATTTTTGCCCAGCTGGACACATAGGGTCCGAGGCGAGATTTTTGCCGAGCCGGACACTTAGGGTCCGAAGCCAATAAATTACTCCTTGGCGCTGAGCCTGAGGGAAGGTTTGCTAAGCCGGACACTTAGGGTCCGAAGCGAATAAATTACTCCACGGCGCTGAGCCTGAGGCGAGGTTTTCTGAGTTGGACACTTAGGGTCAGAAGCGAATAAATTACTCCCTGGCACTGAGCCTGAGGGGAGGTTTGCTGAGTCGGACACTTGGGGTCAGAAGCGAATAAATTACTCCCCGGCGTTGAGCCTGAGGGGAGGTTTGCCGAGCCAGACATTTGGAGTCCGAGGCGAGTAGGTTCCTCCTCGGCATTGAGCCTAAGGGGAGGTTTGCCAAGCCGGACACTTAGGGTCCGAGGCGAATAAATTACTCCCCGGCGCTGAGCCTGAGGGGAGGTTTGCATATATTTTTCTCAAACAACTTATCATGAGGCCGAGGATTCAAAAATGATAGGAGGCCAAGAAAACGAGTAACAGTGGCTGTGAAGTTTCCTATTTGTTTACTTTGGAGACTTTCCTCCATTGATACTCCCTTCTTGGCAACCAAATGTAGTGGACTACGCATATATTAACCGCATTTCTTTTCTATTTCTATCCGATGTGGGACATAGACTAAATTTTGTCAAAAAGGTCAGTGTAAGGAATGCCTCTGGTATTGAGCTTGATAGCCTTTAATAACAGTGGGCCCTCCTTACACTGCAATCAATTATTTGAATATTCCCACATATAACAGAATGTAACACATACTTTTTTGTCGATGTGGGACAGAGAGTTTTAACTATAGGCCATAACTCATGTTTTTTCTTAAAAATCATTGTGACGAATGCTTTTTAATAATTTGCTTCTAACATTGCTTTGCACAAAAATTTCTTTGCATAAAAATTGCATAGTGCGACTTGGCATGCATAAAAATTGCATAATCATAGAGTAGTATGAAAATATCTTTGAATAAAAATTGCATAATGCGACGCATGCATAAAAGTTGCATAATCATAGAGTAGTATGGCCCCCATTTTTATGGAAAGAAATAAATGGAGTAGAATTATACTGAATATGATAGAAGCAAAATAAAGAAAAGCTTGGCTGATTGTGGGCATACGCAGCCTTATTTGTGAAGAATTCTTAGCAAAATTGACAAACTTATCTAATGGAAATACCTTTTAAGGTGTATTGCATTCCAAGGACGCGTAATGGGACGTCCGTCAGCTTCGGCCAAACGATATGCTCCTTTCCCCACTACTTCGGTAACCCGGTAGGGTCCGGTCCAATTAGGTTCCAGTTTCTTTACATGAGCTGTTTCTTGCTTCAAAACCCAATCGCCTACCACAAAGCTCCTGAATTTGATGCGTTTGTTATAATTGTTGCGCAGCTGTTCCTGATATGAAGCAAGCTTAATTGCTGCAGCATCCCTTTTTTCGTTCAGGAGATCGAGACTATGTTCGAGCTGCTGACTATTGTTTCCTTCAAGCAATAAGGATGTCCGAAGGGTTGGAATCGCCGTTTCGGTTAGAATTACTGCTTCGGATCCATAAGCCATGGCAAAGGGACTCTCCCCTGTGGGCCGCTGTGGTGTGGTTCGGTACGCCCAAAGCACCTGAGGGAGATTCTCGTACCATTTCGTTTTGAGTTTCTCCAACTTCTTCTTTAAACAATTGAAAATGGTCCGATTAGTTATTTCAGCCTATCTATTCCCTTGTGGATGACTAACTGCAGCTAACTTTTGTATAATTCCATGCTCAGCGAAGAATTTTCTTGTACTTCTATTGTCGAGGTTCTTACTATTGTCCATCATAATGACTTTTGGGACCCCAAACCGGCAAATGATGTTGTTCCAAAGGAAAGTTTTTACTTGCTCATGGGTCACACTTGAGTAGGCCTCGGCTTCTACCTATTTAGTGAAATAATCTGTAGCCAGTAGCACGTACTCCTTTTGTTCCACAGTATTGGGTAACGTGCCCACCATATCAATTCCCCATTATGCGAATGGCCATGGATTTGCCATTGCATGCAAATATTCGGCAGGTTGATGCTTCGTGGGATCGTGACGTTGACATTTGTCATACCTCCGAGTATACTCTTCTGCATTCCGGGCCAAGTACGGCCAGAAGTAACCTTGAGTCAGGACTTTATGCGCGAGGGATCTACCCCCAGAATGGTTGCCACAATCTCCGTCATGGATTTGTTTCAACACCACAAGAGCCTTAGTAGGGCTTAAACATTTCAGGTAAAGACCTGAAAATGACTTTCGGTATAACTGATTGTTAATGATGGCATATTTAGCTGCGGTGAGACGGAGCTTCCGTGCTTCAGACTTCTGGTTTGGAAGAACTCCATGCTTGAGGTAGGCTTCCAATGGATCAATCCAGCATGGTTCTCGAGGAATAACTAGAATCACCATTACTTCCTGCGGAGGATTAATGCTGGGCTCGTCCAGGACGTCAATCGGCACAATCCGAGTCAGATCTTCATTCGTGGATGACGCTGATATGGCCAATTGATCTGCTTCGGCATTCTTAACAAGAGGTACTTGATAGAATTCGATCTGATCGAATCCCTATGCAACGTTCTCTACAGCTTCTTTATATGCTTTCCTTCTCTCCTCTTTGGGATGGTATTGACCTGTCACTTAATTTATAACAAGCTGTGAGTCACTAAAAACCTTTAAGCAACGTACCTGGAGGCTGCTAGCCAATCAAAGACCAGCAAGTAATGCCTCATACTCAGCCTCATTGTTCGTAGCCGGGAACTTCAAACAGATAGATTGCTGCAGCTTGGTGCCTTTGGGTGTTGACATTACAACGCCTACCCCTGCACTTGCTTGATTCGAGGAGACATCGACTCGAAGTTCCCACTGTGGTTCAGGGTGTACCGGCTCTTCGGGAGTGTCTTCATATTCAAGAAGAAAGTCTGCTACGGCTTGTCCTTTGTGCGACATCTTTGGCTCATAAGTTATGTCGAAGGAACTAAGCTCGATAGCCCACTTGGTAATTCTTCCAGATAAATCGGGCTTAGAGAGTATACCCCGTATAGGATAGTTGGTGAGTACCACAATGCTATAAGATTCAAAATAATACCGAAGCTTCCTCTTGGCATAAATCAAGGCTAAGATAACTTTTTCTGCTTTACTATATCGCGTCTCCGCATCTGTCATGGTCTTACTTGTGTAGAAGACTGGATATTGCCTCTTTCCTTCCTTTCTAATCAATGCTGCACTTGTCGCTATATTAGAAATTGCCATATACATAATAAGAGCCTCCCCGGGTTTTGGAGCGGATAAAATTAGTGGTTCGGCCATGTAACCTTTCAACCGAATGAGGGCCTTCTGCTGCTGAGGTCCCCATATATCTTTATTCTTAAGTCGTATAGCATCGAAGAATGGTTTGGACTTATCTGACAATCGGGATATAAACCGGCTGAGGGCTGCGATCCGACCGGTAAGAACCTGCACCTCCCTGCGATTTTTTGGTTCCTGATTCTAGATAAGGGCCTTAGCCTGAGCCGGACTTACCTCTGTCCCTCTTTTATTCACTATGTGGCCGAGGAATTGACCTGATGATACCCCGAATGAGCACTTGGATGGATTCAACTTCATGTTGTACTTCTTCAAGGTATTGAAAACTTCCTGTAGATGCTTCGGATGATCTTCTTTCTTCACACATTTAACCACCATGTCATCTATATATGCTTCAACTGTCTTTCCCAGCAGATTATCTAATATCTTGTTGACAAGGCGTTGATAAGTAGCTCCCGCATTCTTCAGTCCAAAGGGCATGACCTTGTAACAATAAGTCCCATTTTCTGTAATAAAAGCCATTTTTTCTTCATCTTCGGGATTCATAGGAATTTGATTGTATCCCGAGTATGCATCTAGGAATGTCAGCCTCTCGTAGCCGGTGGTAGCATCAACCATCTGATTTATCTTGGGCAGAGGGAAGCTATCTTTAGGGCAGGCTTTGTTAAGGTTGGTATAGTCTACACAAACCCTCCATTTTCTATTCTTCTTTTGTACGACTACCACGTTTGACAGCCACTGTGGATATTGCACTTCTCGAATGAAACCCGCTTGCAATAATTTGCTCACTTCTTCAGCTATAATGTGATTGCGTTCGGGGGCAAACCTTTGGCGGATCCACCTTTAGACTATGGCAGGAAACTAAGGGATCGATCCCTACCATGTCCGAGTGATCCCACGTAAAGGCATCTGCATTGCTCCGGATAACATCAATTAATGCCTCATTTTCTTCGGATGTGGAGGAAGAGCTTAAATAGGTAACCTTCTGAGGGTCACCGAGGAAAACATCCACGGCTTCAATGGTCTCTTCGGTGGGCTTCGCAATATCCTCTTCCTCCTTTACCTTAAGATACTTGGGCAGAGGGCTCTGTAATTGCTATTTGGGTCCAGTTTTGGAAGCCACACCTGGTTGCTGTTGAGTCGACACCCTCTTTGCTTCAACTTGTGTCAACATATAGCATTCCTTCGCTGCGGCTTGATCGCCCCACAGATTAATTACTTCTTTCCCGTCCGGAGATAAGTACCGCATCACCTGGTGAAGGGTGGACGGAACTCCTCTCATCCGATGTATCTAACCTCTTCCCATAATGAGATTGTAAGAAGGATGAATCTCTGTTAAAACAAAGTTTTCCTTCAGAGTCCTCTTCGCCGCGGTTACGAACAAGTCTATTTCTCCAAGGGGATCTACTCTTGTGCCATTGAACCCCATCAATAGGCTAGAGGTAGGTCGAATAGATGATGATGGGATCTCTAGCTGCTCAAAGACCGTCTTTGTGATTATGTTGGCGCTACTTCCTGGATTTATCAAAACCCTCCGGATCATACAATTGGCCATTAAAAGACTGATGACCAATGGATCCTCGTGGGGGAGTTGAACTCTGGATAGGTCGCCATCTCCGAATCCAATACTGATGATACCCGAAGTGATAGCACTGACCCAGGATATCCTCCTAAGCTTGTGGGCTGCCCTCAGTCTGGATCTGTATACCTCCTTGGACTCTTGATCATCTTCAGACCTACCATGTATTGCATGGATGACTTTTACTTGCGTACCTTCTACCTTGGGGGGATAGACCTCGCGGGGCTTTGCATACTCCTTTGTCATGGGGTAATTCGTCAACTCACCTCTGGCGATCATATTCTCCACCTGTCGCCTGAGGGATCTACAATCATTGGTTGAATACCCATAATCTCGATGATAAGCGCAATGCTTGCTTTTGTCCCTTTGCTCCAGGGGTTGCTTTATTGGCTGCGGAGTTGTGAACTTCATCTTATTCTCTTGGAAGAGCCAAGCCAAGGTAGTTCAGAGAGGTGTAAATCCTTCATCTACCCTTTGCCTTTTTTCAGGTGCCTGGGTGATCGGCGTTGAGGAACGTTGGTTTTTTTGAATCTTTGGAATTGGAACTCTTTCAAGAGGCTTATTTTCCACTGTCACGGGGGTGGCGTGCTGCGCTCGGTGGGTTATATTCTCCTCAAGCCGAATGCAGATCTGGGCCCTGACATTGAGAGTCTGCATGTCAGGAGGAGACTACTTGACTTAGGAAGTGTGGAATTTCGTCCCCTAAATCATCGCGAGTTTAAATGTCTCTATAGCAGCTGCAGGATGATAATCTGCTATTTCTGAGGCTTCCATGTTGAATCTTGACAAGAAATCCTGTAATGTTTCCCCCTTTTTTTGCCTTACGGTGAAGAGGCTGGCAATACTTTTCTTTTGCTTCTTATTCCCGCAATACTGTGCCAGGAACATGGTGCATAGAGTTACGTATTCCGGGATGGACTTATGCGGTCTATTCCTGAACCATTCTAGTGCTGCTCCTGTCAAACTGGTAGGAAAAACTCTGCACATCCAAGGGTCATTACGATCATCCAAAGCCATTTTTTGAGCGTAATGATCTAGGTGCCGAGAAGGATCCCCTGTTCCATCAAACTGGGTGGAAGAAGGCATGGTAAATTTCTTGGGCCTCTCAACCAGATATACATCGTCAGTGAAATGAGTTTTGACCAAGGAATTTTTGTGTTCTCTAGCCATCTCGGCAGGTGTCTGAATCTTCAGGAGTTTCTTCTCGTCAAAGGCATCCTGGACACCTGCACCATCTGGGATTCCATTGGACCACACCGTAAGCTTATGGCTGGATTCGACTTGCTCATCCTGTGTGCGACGAGGGACGTTATCTGAAGCCGCAGCCTCGGATCTTGCCCTCCGTTGTTGCTGAACCTCATTTTGCTGAGCCTCATTGGGTCGTGCCCCATTAGGTGGAGCCCCATCAGGCGGAAGTCCAGTAATCGGAGGAATATTCTGACTAGGGGGTGCTGCTGTGTCACCCACTGGTGGCGGTGGTGCCAACTGAGCCAGCACCGTTTGCAAAGTGTTATTCTGCTGTTGAAGCAGGGCGATCTGAGCCACGCTTGCTTCATTTGCCTGACGAAGTACGTCAAACTGGTGTAGAAACTCTTCACGCATCTTCTGCATCAACTCCGTCTGTTGATCCGTTGAAGATCCTCCGTTCGACATTCTGGATGGTAACTGCAGGATTCACTTGTGGAACAAAAAACAAAAGTGGGAATATATTTGCACACGTTTCCCACAGACGGCGCCAAAGTGTAGGTGCAAAATTTTGCCCAACCAATAATGATTAGGAGAAATAGCACAACTCACTCAATAAACAATAAAAATAAACAAGGACAGTATATAGAGAAGCGTAGAATTGCTTGATTCCTTTATTGGAAGTCTAGGCCTCTATTTATATACAAAAGTTAGAAGAATTATGGTAGGTTTCGCGTTGCTTGTCCTCTAATTCTTTCCATATACAATTTTCTTTACAAATAGAATTCTTTCCTCTTTATAATTCTTCCCTTACCAGATTTTCCTTACACAGAACTTGCTTCCTTTGGTGAATCATTTTCCTTGCAGGGACCGGCTCCTTCTTTAAATGGATTTGGGCCGCATTTAACTTGGTCCACATGACTCTGTTCATGGGCTAGAAGTTTGACATTAGTGACATTGGGCTGCTGGCATCTTGATTCGGGTTTTAGTAAAGCTGGTAGTTAGATAACAGTAGTTTTGGGCTAATGACCAACTCAACTTGAGCTTTTAACGAGATGGGTTTTGAACTTTATCAAAGATAAAGTTATATTTATGATGACGTGGACTGCTTTTATTGGAGGGAGATTTTTCCCTTCACAGCTATACAACTAGCCCAAGTCGCCCAATTCAGTTTGGTCAGGTCCGATTTTTCGGTTTACCGAATTTTTTGAACACCCTTAACCACAACCTCGTGGGGTGTCAGTTTAATTTATCCAACAATTTATTATGTGGGTGTATTTGTAAAATTATTCAAAATTTTATAGGAAAAAATATAATTGTTGAAAAAAATTTATAGGAAAAAGTATAATTATTGAAAATTTTATAGAAAAAAGTATAATTATTAAAAAAATCTGGCAGGGATTTTGAACAAGCAAGCAGATAACAACAACTCAAGCGGGAGCAAAAATTCAGGCTTAATCCCAATAAAAGACCAAAACCAAATGATAAACATCCACGCGATGGTGAAAGGACTAAATTAATAAACAAACTGTTTATGCAAAAGAATTAGGACTCTGATCGATTGTCCCATACGCTGATCTTATGTCATCAAAAAAATCAACTTTGCGTATATGGTGACACGAATCAAATGAGGACCCATATCCGCTCATAATTAATTAATTGCTAAGCATCTGTAACCTGCTCATTATTTCCTTTTCTATCCTAATTAGTCCTTCCGTTTCCCAAACCAAGTAATTAAAAAGCCAAAAAAGAACCCAAAATTCAGAAATCCTTGACCTTTTCTTCCATCACAATCAGTGCTGTACCCTAGAGGACCACACATGATTGTCCTAAATCAGAAATTCTTTATCTTTTCTTTTATTATAATCAGATAAAGCACGTTGTACCAGATCACAATGATTCATGTCCTAAATGATTATCCTAATTCCATGTGAACATGTTTTGTCACACCCACGTTATACTCGAATACGACTGTACGAGTAAGCTACCACCACTCATTTTAGCGGTATACTGCATTTTTCACACTTGGTACTTGTTGCACTGCATTTTTCACAATCTGATGTTGACAACCAAGTTCTTCTAAAATGAAATAATGAAAATATCAATTGTAATTTAGTGGTTGAAGTAAATTGTAATTTAGTTTCTTCATCAATAATATTCTTATCTTTGCTAGGAGGAAAAAAAAAAATTGAAAACTTTCTCTAAACCAAATACGTAACAAAGGGAATAAACTTGCCTTTGTTTATCATCAACTTGATGTTAATTCTAAAACATCAAATGAGCAGCGGGTATAAACTTAAAGTTTTCAAAAGAAAGATTAAGAATTCAAGTGTCAATTTTATACGAACATGATGTGTTTGTTTATCATAGAATTTATCTACTATATGACTATGGTTTCATTTATTTGGTATAGTTTTTATGACTATGGTTTCATTTTATTTGGGTAAAGAGCGTAAACATACAACAGCAGCAACAACTATTAATATTAAGTTTAACTTTCAAAAAACAAAAAAGAAGAGAAAAGAAAAAAAGAGGAGAAAACAACAACTAAATCTTTTTCCAACTATTTGGATAGGCTTCTATTAATTGGCTTTGTTTAAGGCTACATCCTTCATCAATCCAAATTTATATTTACCTAAATGAATATAAATAAAAAAGTTGAACGTCTTTTATCGGGATCAACTTAAGTTTATCACCAATTTGATCAAGATGCATTTGTAAATGATTATTTATCAGAAGACCAAAATGGCTATTCAATCTTTCTTTTGTTTGATTTGTTTTTGAATTTTTTTGGGGTAGACATTTTTATAGGGTGCTAATTCAAACTGATAATAGAGGAAGATCTCCAACATTGGCTGCTGAGTAACTTCAAACAAGATTATGGCTGTTTAGTAAATTTGCTGCTCCTGTGGTGATTCTCTATCTTTATGGCACTGTTACCTTCTAGATGTCCGAAGAAATCACCAAAATATCAGTTTTTTTTTTTTTTTTTGCTTCCTTTGTTTTGTTTTTTGTTTTTTTTTTTCCTTCAAGCTGTGCTAAAGCACTTGTAATATATAGCCCTCTATCCTTATTTATGGTCACGCTTGTAAAATTCATGTACTAGTTCTATAATTTAAATTCTACTTACCACACTTTCCAATTTATGCAAGGGTAAGGTTACAAGACATCAATTAAAATCTAGGCATTATAGTCATGAAATTCCAAGCAGGGAGTGCTTGATACAAGTAGAGGCTAAAGCAAAAAAAAATTGGAGGCCTTTTAATGCTTTATATACATTGTATAAATTAGTAAGAATTTAAAAGAAGAAGAAAAGATAATAAACAAATTTAATATAACATGAAAAAATACTAACAACTTGTGTGAGGTTCCTATTTTTTTAAAGGAGGTTAAGATTTCGAAACTCAGTGGAAATAGTGCATGTAAATCTCAACTAAAGAAAAAAAAAACATAACATGAAAAAAATGTGAGAAAAGACAAGTAATTAAAGCAGAATGTGCTTCAACATAAATCCAATACTTTTATGTAAAACTAAACATTAATAAAATGTGTGCTTCAGATTCAATACATATTTTTTGGCCCACGTCAAAAACTTTGGAGAAAAGTTGCATGAAAGAGAAATATATAACCTGACATTGACTTCATTGCCTGGTGGAAGAGAGTTGCATCAAAAAACTTGGAGGAAAATGAATTTTTAACAAGGGCGTTGGATCAATTTTTATTTTTATTTTTTAAGGCCACTCGTAAATGGGAAAGTGATATACCATGTTGGGGGGCAGTACAGATAGGATAAAACGATTTTTCAACTACTCTCGAAAGAATCCATTGGTTTGAAGGACGAGGTCAGTGGTGGGGCTCGCTGTTGCCATACGATATAATGCCATATCGCAGACACCATGACATCATTGACAAAGACTAGACGGAAAAGAAAAATAAAATGATTAATTACACTCACACTCTTTAAAATTTGTCTTATTAACAATCAGACGAAAGTTGACTCATTTTTTAACAATAATCACCCCTTAGGTTTAATAAAGTTGACAAAGACACCCCTCTCACATCTAACACATAGTGAATTAATATTATTGCCCTTTGACTTGATAATTAACCTATTTTGACCTTGCAATTACGTTTTTAACCTTTACTACTCATTTTATTGGACCAAACCACCCTTACCTGTAGAAAAATTTGTGAAAAATATGGGGTGATATAGGCTTTCAAACCTT